GGGGGGGGGAGGGGGGCAGAGAAATGTTATTTTTGTTTAAATGCGAAGAGGTATGAAGAAGCCTGAATTCCTGAGTTAAAATTGAGGGAGTTCGTTGAAACGTGGTCACATGAACTGTGTTCCTGCATGGATGATACCGCATATCTGCATCCCAGGGACCGCATCGCACACCGCCACCCGGGTATGCAACTGCTTCCTTTGGATCACACAAGTAGCAGAGCGTGTACAAGCGAGGGTCCTGACCACCAAGCAGAAAGCGAGAAAGAAGTATGACACATACATACTGAGTCCAGCGGCTTTCAGCTTAGCCGTACCAACCTGATCCCATCTGTGCGATTTATATGGGTATGCCAGCAATTCAGTGGGCAATGCCCAATCATCTGCTTGTAATTACTGGCACCTGCTACGATGCTACTAGGGTCTGTCGGCTAGCGTAGCGCGGGTAGGCGCGTATGCTTGCACAGCACCTAAAATGTCAAAACAACCAAATGGAGGCCCTCAGATGCAGGCACGACTAAGCCTGCCAGCTTGCTTCTAGCTAAAGTTGTCCTTCGGGGGGTTCCCGAACAGCACTCCTCAAGCTTGCGCAGAGGTAATCTGAGGCTTGTTGCATAGGGGCCACATAGATGTCCTCATCATTGCTACGCAAGTCACTCCATCATCGCCTCCGTGGCCCGCGCAGCTGTTGACCCCATGGGGGTAAAGGTCCAAATCTGCCAAGTCTTCAAGTTCTTGAACAAGAGCGCCAGACAAGTCTCGCTGACGCACACGGCTGCTACGTGCCGCCGCTGGGCATTCGGGCCCAACTGTGCTATATATCTCTGCCTCCCAAGAAGACCCACCATCCTACTATCTACTTGGGACCCCGCCCTGTGAGGCATTGATCCAGGTGGGTGCAAGCGCAGAGAGCCAGAAGGCGACGACTCAAACCGGTCGAGCGGAAGGCCTTGGACTGAGCTCGCCACCGTCTTCACTGGCGAGGACCTCGACATCTGAGATGCCCTGGAAAAGTCAGCATCAGAAGCAGGACACAGAGCGGCGCACGCTCCTGCAGCAGCTGCTACAGCGGGTTGCTGTCTGCCTTGGGCTGTGTCCCCAGATGGCTGAAGCAGCTGAGTTCCACATGACAAATTGACGGACCCAGCATCTTCAGAGCTTGAACCCACTATCCCCATTTCGCCATTCTGCCCTCCAGAACCGCCGCTCGCGTGCATTGTCGCCTTGCTTCTCTGCTGCAGCTCCTCCCATTGTTCCATCTGATGAATGTACAGCTCCTCAGCAGTCATGCCGACAGCCGCGGCTGTCTCATGGAGCGCCCTCGCACCCTCTTCCCCCACTAAGCTAACAAGGAAGGAAATGTCTGTAGGGCCCGAGGCCCAGCCGGTGCGCTGGCAAGAAGCTGCAGCCGAAGGGGCCCCCGAAGCAACGACTGCAGCAAAGCTCGGTCTGCTGCCATGAATAGTAGTGGTAACCTGTGACAACTCAGGCCCGGAGGACAGCCGCTTCGGTTGCCCTTCGCCCGGCTGCATTTGCTTGCTTCGAGTGGCAATAGTGTGTCTGGAAACCGCTGAAAAGCCTCTAGGGTCCCCAGCAGCAGTAGCAGCAACAGCAGCAGCAGCAGCCGTATCGGCGTCCGCATTGCGCTGCACATCAGATGATGTGGCGTGGCAAGCAGCCTCGGGAGAGGAATTGCACACCGAAAGATCCGCAGCTTGCCGCATCGGAGGCAGCGGGGAAGGCCTCATGGAAGTGGGAATTTGTAGGTCTTTCCTTATACGGTTTGCAGCATTTTCGAGGGAAAAGGGCGAGGCGAGAGGAGGAAACTCATCTGCATAGCACACAGCCACTGCTGTCGCAAGCTCTGGATCCACTTGAACCTCCGTCGCCGCCCGAGGAGGCCCCACCGGAGGCTGGGTTTGTTGCTTCGCCAGGTCACTAGGGAGGTTCCCGACGACCATGGAATCACTGCTCACACAGGACAAGGACCCCATATCATCAACTTTTTCCAAAAGGTGTTTCGCGTCAGCTGCTCCAGGCAGACCTCCACGGCATTCCCTAGCTTCTGCCTGCTCCTGGTCCTGCTGTTGGTCCTGCTGTTGATCCTGTTGTTGGTCTTGCTGTTCGTGCTGGCGTTGGTCCTGCTGTTGGTGTTGATGGGTTTTCGGTTGTTCGCTGTGTGCCTTAGATGCCTTGGTGTGTACATGTGCCTCTTTCTGAGCGTCATAGAGCAGCTGGAGCTGCATTGCTGGCTCCAAAGAACTCGCATTTAACCACACACCGCCCACCAGCGCTCCGTTCCCCTGCTGCACACAGCCTCGGCTGCCATGGGTCTCAGCATGCCTTGAGATCGCAATTGACGTTGCATGCGCTGTAGGTTTTGTGGGCTTCGTGTGGGCCAAGAGCTGCCGTTGCATCCATCCACTGCCGAAGTGCTTTTTAAGACTAATTTTGCCGGCCTTGCGGGACCCTTTGGAGCTGCAGCAGCCCACGAGGCCGCCTGCGTTGTTTGCCCCCCTTCTGGCAGTGCTGCGCCCCACAGTCTCGTTCTCTGAGTCCGTCCCGAGTTGATTTTTGTTGCGGCAAATTGTTTCAGCGTTGAGTCCGTACTCGTCGTCTTCCTGGCTGTCGGATAGGTCCCCGCTTTGTCTGTCTCCCTTAGCCATGAGGTCCACCCCGAAGAGCTTCGTGTAGCGCTGCAAGTCCCAGACCATCATGATCTCTTGCAAATCTACAGTAACCAGCCTCCGCACGCCGTCGAACGCGCACTGATATATTGACCGTGGGTGCGAGAAGACACATAGCCGTATCGACTGCAGCTCTGGAGGCGAAGGGGGTCGTAGGCACCAAGGCAAGACAGACTGCTCTACCATTGGGCGTCGCAACTGCCGAAGCTGGTCCAGAGGAGATCCCATGAGCGTCTCGTGCATGCGTTCCGGCTCTGCAACGGTTCTTTGGATTCTCCGCTGCGCCGACTCTGTGTCCTTCATCTTCATCTGCACCACCCGAATCACAGACCCGTCCACCACAACCCATCGTCTTCCCCCTAGAGGCTGCAAAAAAGAAGGCCTCCTCGCCACCAGCAACTCCAGACGAGCGCACTCAGGCGGAGAAAGCAACATCGCAGCAAACTGCTGTTGCTGCACTGGCAGGAAGCCACCCACGGGCACGTGCTGCGGCCGCGGTAAGCCGTAGCGACCAAACTTGGAGAGGTCTTCCGCAGCCAGCACGGGGCTCTCCGCGGTTGGGGAAACGAAGATGTGGGCAGGCAGCAAATGCTGACAGACCACATCGCAGCACAAACAAGGCCCTTAACGTAAAAATACAACAGACACCAGCAGCCCCGCAACCCATTCCCCTACGGCCAGTCGTGTCGGGGCAGTGTACTACTGTACAAGGCTGCAACAACGTTAAGGGCTAATACAAGAAGAGGAACAGCTTTTTCATTCCCCAACATGCAAACGAAGTGCCACGCCAGCGGCCTATAGCTCAATGAATTACCACTCGACGTGCACTAGCAAATAATATGTGCTCATAAGAGGACAAGGAGGAAGGAACAGGTGTTGGTTGCGGGTAGGTAGGCTTGAGGAGAAGCAAGATTGGCTGTGGCTCAAATCCTTACGCTGAAGCAGACGAAGCAGACCCGCGAGTCCCTAGGGGTGCAGACGGCGACAATGCCGTTGTTCAGATCCAGGGACACAAGCTGGCACCGTCCCCTAATAGTCAGCGCGCAGCTCCATTCCCCCCAAAGCCCCTGCATGCCTCCTGCTGAAGAACCTCTTCTCCGTCTGCGACACCTGCTGTCATTTGGCCTTTCTCCTCTCCCCAGACCTGCCTGGTCTACGTTCCACACAAACCTAAATACCTTTATGCCCGATTCCTTGCTTGATGCAAACAACCAAAGCGCTTCGGCCTCCACGCCTCCGCAAGCGGCTTCCCCGCCTACACTGGCTTCACCACCTTTCGGCATGAAGCCCCCCCCAGGGGACCCCGGAGGTCCTGTTGGTGTCCCCAGCGCCTCTGGGGTTCGTTGCTGAGCTGCAGAGGTAGGGGCCTTCGTCCAGTGCCAGGAAATGTCGCTGTTACCAGTGTGTACACGGAGATCCGGCTGCTGCTGCGGCGAGGAACGGGGAGCCCACGGGGTCCCCCGTACTAATTCAACATAATCAACTGCCCCACTGTCTGCCCCGAAATTCCCCACCTCCATAAAGGAGACACCTCGCGCTGCTCGCGCTGCAGTCACTGTAGGACAGGAGATCCCGCTGCTGCTACTACTGCTGCTACTGCTGCTACTTCTGGGGCTGCTGTTGCTGCTGCTACCAGTGCCGTTGCCGATGTTAGGGCCGTTTCCTCTGCGGCTACTACTGCTGCCGATGCCGTTGTTAGCGTCCTTGCTGCTGTTGTTGCTGCTGCTGCTGAAGCCATTGGCGGTCTCGAGTTTTGTGTCCTGCTGCAGCGCCTCCTCAGCAGCGCCTTCTCCCTGGAGAGCGTTTTGACCTGCTGCAGTGCCTGCAGCTGTTGCGGCTGTTGCGCCTCGTATACCAGCCAGACAACTCCCGCAGCAGTAGCAGCGGCGAATTAGGCAGCGGGGAGGAGGCGTGCAAAGGATTCTGCCGTGTGTTGTACCCACGGCGACCAGTCCTACGAAGGTTGCAAGGGGCAGTTGCTGTAGGGAGAAGCTGACGGCCTTTGCGCTGCGGTTGCTGCTGCTGCTGCTGCTCGGAAGAATACACTCCTTCTGTATTTGCTGCTGCGACGCCACAGCTGCTGGTGGTGGGTCACCGCCGTAGAGGTCTACAAGCGGCTGCTGTTGCTGCTCTTCCTCCTCCTCTCCCGTGTGGGCCTCAGCAGGCAGCTCCCCCCCGCATCCCCCTCGCGCTCCCCGCTGTGCTGCTGCTGCCTGTCTCTTCTTGTACCACAGCCGGCATCTTGCTGCTTTAATTGTCTCCTCCTCCCGCAGCACACAACACACAATCGCGTGCGTCTGGAATCGAGATCCTTTGGGGGAAAAAGAACAGAGTGCCACAGGCCACACGCGCTGCGGTGTAGGCGGCCCTTCAGTCCCCTTAGATAATGCGGCAGCAGCTGCTGTTGCAGCTGCGGGGGTGGAGGCAGCTCCTGCTGCACCACTCGCAGAAGCAGCGGAGGCTGTGGGAACAACAGAAGCAGCAGTGCAACAACCAACAACATCTTCACTCGGCGGTAGAGATCCCTCAGCAGATCTCTCTAAAGTCTCTGCCTCTGCAGCGCCTTTGCAGCAGCTGGGGGAAACCCCCGATGAATCTGTTGCGCCACGACCTTCTGAGCCAGCGGAAGCTGCTGCTGCTGCTGCTTCTGGGGTTGTGGGTGTGAGTGTGGGTGCTGCAGGGGAGGCTGGAGCTGGCTGGTCAGAGGCAGAGCAAGAGATGGGGGGCGTCGCGATTTCAATGGAGGGCAGACAAAGGGACAGCAGCCGGACTTGAGGACAGTGCCCCATGCCTGTGATCGAGCCTTGTGGGGCCTGGCTGCTGCTGCAGTAAGAAGAGGAGGGTTGTTGTTGTTTGCTGCTGCTCGCTGTTGCTGCTGATGCTGTGGAGGCCGCAGGAAAGATGTCCAAGCATCCGTCTGCTGAGGCCCCTCTTTGGGGGCCCTCTTCCCCAAGGCATGGGTACAGAGGATGCGGAGACACATGGGCCCAACTCATGTGCAGGCGGTGCTGTTGCTGCTGCCTCTGCTGCCGCTGCTGCCGCCTCCGCTGCGACTGCGAAGGGCGGGGCCCCAATGAGAGATCACCAAATCCGAAAGTTGTGTCTGTGCCTGCAGTGCAACCTGCATGCATCTGCTGCTGCTGCTGTCGCCGCCGCTGCTGCTGCTGCTGCTGGGGGCTATGGTCATCCTCTCCTAGCAGCCATTCTTTGGGGGCAAATGCACCAAACTGAATGAGGGGGTCTGCATTTCTTGGTATTGTCAGTGGCAGTACAGGAAGTTTAGCTTCCATACAGCACAGTTTAGGAAGCCCCCGTGCTGCCGCTGCTGCTGCTGCCATTGTTGCTGCTGGTCTTGTCGCATGCACAACGAATACGCGGCCACTGGGTAGAACAAGAAAGAGGGGGTAGGATCCTGCTGCTGCAGCATCAGCGAATTGCTGCTGAGACCCCCATGCCTGTAAGCTAGCTGGTATCCCTAGTGAGGGCCAAGGTTGTAGGGAAAGAGGAGCATCAGGGGCAACAGTATAACTGCTGCAGGAGGAGCCAAGAGGGGGGGCAGGGAGCACAAAAGCCTTATCTATTGCCTCTGCTAAAGGGATAACATGCCGCTGCTCTGATACAAATCGTCTACTACGCCAGTTGGCATTAAGACTACCGATACGCAGCAGATCAGGGCGGCCTACTTGAGGCAGCCTCCTATTAAAGGTCTGCCAGGAGCTCACCTGTCCTGCTTCCTCATGAAGAGGAACCCCCTTTCGACCCCCATTACTACTGCTACTGCTACTGCTGCTGTTGTTGCTGGTGCTGTTGCTGCTGCTGCTGTTGCTGCTGCTGCTGTTGCTGCTGCTGCTGCAGAGCCGTGGGGAACAGGTAGGCGATAGACGCGGCAGCAGCACATTCTCCCCGTGCCTTAAGATCCGCTGGTGAAGAGCAAAGTGCGTCCAGCATGGTAAGAGGGATGGATTATGGCAAAGACGCAGGAGAGAAGAATTAAGAGAAAGAAGATTTAAAAAAGAACAGACGTCAAGACAGCGCGCAACTGCCTCAACACAACGGAGAGGAGCACAATGTAAAAATAACTCTAATGCAGAAGGGCGGCAGCGCCTAACAGGCCCCTTAACACCTGCACCCCCCTCAGCCTCGTGCAATATAGAAACGCTGCTACTAGCTGTCCGTATTCCCGAGCTGCTGTTGCTCACTCCTGCAGCTGAACGTACACCGCAACCCCCAAGCAAGGGCTCTCCTGACGCTTCTCCTCTCAAGTCACACCAAACGGACATTCCGTCCACTAAAAAGTGCCCGTAGTACCCACGCAGTCAATGTACATACACCTAGAAACGCGAGTGAGGTGTACAGACACCCCAGACGGGCGGCCGCCCTTCGGTAGCCGTTTGGCACACACTTCCGTCTTCTCCAAGGTCCCGATCTACGCAAGCTGAAGATGATACAGAAAGAGGAAACGGAAACAGAAGAATCTGGATCTCCTGTTTCTCCAAGTTCTGCTGCTATGCTGCTGCTGCTGCTACCCCTGCAGCAACGCGACTTGAATGGACTAGTTACGCAGGAAATATATCCCGCAGCCACCCTCTGAAACAAACCCCAAGTGTCTCCCACGCCACACAAAAAGAGCCGTCGCCTCCCTCTTTGCTGTTCGTGCAGCGGTTGCTCTCACGGAGCGCTACGATCACCGAGGGGCCTCTACTGGTCCCTCAACAACGGACTGCGTCAGTGTACGGACACCGAACGCAAACGAGCTAGGCAAGTCCCTTCTGGAACCCACGAGTAGCGCAGGCCCTTCGTGGAGGCTAAAGATGCTACTACAACTGCAGCAGCAGCAGCAGCAGCAGAAGCAGTGCAGCAGGCTGGGCGTTGGAAAGACGCCAGATAAGGCAGGGTCCTGCGCAACCACGATGCGAAGGAGAAGGTGCAGCAGAAGTGCTGTCTAAAAACTGCCTTACTCCTGTGTAGCGCTTAGAAGGCTGTAGACAGTGATGGGCCGGTGTCCCTGGAGAAGGCGCCCGGGCACCAACGAGGCCCCTGTAGGTACAGCAGAGAACAAAGCAGAGATAGTCGGGCTAGCAACAAAACCGTTAATGGAAACGTGAAAACAAATCGGGAGGTTGCTTCGGGCTTGCAGGGTTTTTTCTAGGGTTTAGGGTTTAGGGTTTTGTGGCAGAGGCCGTGCGGCAAGCACGCTGAGGAGGCTGTAGTGGGCCCCCCTCCCCTGCCGCTTCCAGTTGCTCCACTTGTTGCACAGTTCGCTGGTGCTGCAAGTATTTTAGGAGTTTCCCTACGATCCTTTCATACATAAATGGTATTATTATCTTGAATTTTTCCTACTTTTGTGTCTCTTTCTTTATAAACCCTAGACTTAAAAGGAGAGCTAGGAGCCCTAGGGCTCAAGGTGTTGCTGCAGAGCCAAACGCTGCCGACCACTCACTCCTACGCGGACGAGCAGCAGAGTTATTATTGCAGTTTCAAGCTAAAACAAATAATATTCAACTACTTCTTTTATGCTGAAGTCTATTATTAGCTTAGTCGTGCGCAAACCAACTCACACATGAGGCGGATTCTTTATTCGGCGCGCTAATAACCTCTAGCTGACTGAGGTGATGGGCAGAAGCATGTCTATGCAGTTATTTCCTTATTTGTCTTCTAAATGTATTTTATCTCTTTGATTATGCTCGTATGAGTCTCCTTGTTGTCGTTATGGCCCACTAAACACCACAGGCCGCCTATTCAGTTATTGTTAGCTGTAGTAGCATCTGTCTGACGTTGGTTCGTGTGTGTCCTGGGGTGTAGGCTGGCTGCTGATGGCGAAGTCAGTGGTTAGCAGTTCTCTGAAGTCTAAGTACACGCAGAGAATGGGTTTTGCAATGTTTGCACAAGCGGCTACAAGAGAGTGACCACGATCTTCCCCCAGGCGGAAAGCTAACCAACTGTTAGGCATCTTTTTGTTTGCATTGTAAAGACGTATTTGCAGTCCTAGCAGATGAAAATACTGCGAAAACAATAAATGAAGAATAACTCCGCCCTGGCAGACCGCCCAAACTCCGATCAGCACTATAATGCAGGATGAGTAGAAGAATTCCACGTCCCGCTGTGCGCTCACTATTGTCTTTAAATGCAAACAGAGGATTACTGTTATTATTCAATACATCCTGATTAGGATCGGAGGTATACCTGAGTAACTGGGACTTTCCCAGCTCACATTCTGGCATGATAACTCTGTCCAAAGTGTGCGACGTTGTAGATTCTTCCACATTCCGGCTTGTATATAGCCTGTGTCAGTGTAAGGCAAATTCAAATCATAGAAACAATTCATAGAGAGTTACACTGAGAAGCATTAGTCATTGGTGGATAGAAACCCAGTACAGGAATAGTGGGGATGAGGAGTGTCTGCGTTGTTTGTGTGCCGAGCATCTGACTGTTCAATCTGACTGTCATGGGAAAGAGTTCATACTGCTTCCCTCGGAAGGTGGAGTACCCCCGCACCGCCTTGCCTGATTGGCCTCTTTTTCTTCGTTGCAACTGCGTTTATTTGGAGTAGCATCGGGAATTCACTATTCGTTATCCATTTTACTCGTTGACTTTCCTCGTAAATTAGACCCCAACACAAATTTGTCACTATACCACAAGAGTCGAGTTTGTTAACGGTAAATTAAGCAGCATGTGCATGTCCACGCATGTGAGCATGCACAGCTATCAACAGACGAGTACAACAAAAACAATGCACAAAGGAGCATATTGCAGTTCATGTTATGCATGGGAAGATGCCTACACAGCCACAGAAAACGAAAGTATTACTTTTCACGACTAGAGCGAAGACTACCTGAGTGAATTTCTGAAGATCAGCTGCTCGATTCCTTGTCTCACGAGCATCGACATGACCTTACGCTGCAGCACGTGCGTGCACACTCTTGGAAGCATGCACAGCCCTGGTCTAATTCCATCTCTTTGGAGTAACTGTTGTTCGAGTGTAGGGGAACTCACAGCTCTTCAATTTACGTGCTTAACACTGGTAACTATTTCTGCATTATTGGTCTAAATCGTTGCTTCCACCTCTGGCTAGCTGAGCACCGTTCTCCAGAACACTTCCATACTTGCATATTTTTGTGTTAGTCACTCCCAACTGGGAGCCGGCAACCATCCTTCCGTGTTGTCTGATTATGCTCGTTTAGGCGAACAAATTTCCGACTGGAATATCTGCACTAAATCACAGCGCCAAGCACCGACACACGAGGAGTTCGGGGTTACGCTGCACCGCAGTTTGTCTGTTCACGCAATCCTTCCCTCTTCATTAAGAAAAAGGTTTTTGTCCCAATGGAATACGTGAATTCGTCGATCTAAAGGAAGATCGTAGTTGGTCTGCACCTAGAGGCGGTCCTTTGTAAGGTAGACAATGCAGCTTTGTCTGTGTGAGTTTGTTAAATGCATAACTCTATGATGGCAAGTTGGCTAAAAAATGCAAATAAATGATTAGCGAATGCCTACAGTGTCAGTGTAGCACTGTTTGCATGTGCGGTTTCCTTCCAGCACCAGCTACAGCAAGGAGCGTTGCAATTCCTAATCGGCTGCCTCCTGTATGCATTGCAAATCCTACCAGGCTGTCTTCTGTATATATTGCAACTCTTAACAGGCTACCTTCTGCAACGAGAGTCTTCTGCGTTATTTAAGGCCTGTAGCGGGTGGCAGTGGAGCCAAAGATCTATCAGCATGCAATCTCTAACAGTTGCCCATACCTCCTAACAGTCTGCATGCGGCCAGCGTACAGCAGCCCCAACCGGACCTGCTGGAGAGGATGCAGCAGGAGATGAGTTGCAACACACCTTGCTAAGACGAACAGTGCAACAAGACACTCTCACAAGAAAGCCAAAAAAAAAAGGCCTCCTTGGTTGCATTGCACTAACGTTGTAAAGAATTGCTAAAGACTTCTGCATGCAACCTTCCTTCCTTATCGTGTATAGCTTGCTTACTAAGGCCGAGTAGGGATTCATCCGCCTGCTTCAGGCCGGCGTGTTTCACCTTCGCCGATATGACAACGCACACAGGGTAATAGGGCTGGTGCTCCTAAGGACAGAGGAGTGTAACGTAAGGGTTATCAGCTGTTTTTTTACAAAGAACTCTACAAGAATTCCCCTCTCCTACACTTTATGAGGGTCCATTGCTTAGATCAACGGCCTTCTTCGCCTCTTCCTATCGCCCCCCAGTCATCCGTCTGTAGGTGTAGGTAGAGGTTTTGTGTCTATGAAGATAGTCCTCTTCTGTCTGTACTAAGAAACCTTTTCTCTGTATTATATTTTCTTAAAAGAAATGGCTTTTTTTTCTTCATATATATAAAGGATCTGCTTAGTGCTATCGGTGGCTAGGCCGCCCCACCCTGTTCGTGTTTAGCTGTTGAGGAGTTTCGATGTATATTTAGTGTATAAGTTGTTATTTATTTTTGTCAATAATGACTAATATGTATTAATTTATTCATTTATAAACAGCAGACGCATAAAGAGCCGTGCGAGCATGCATGCTGCGTTATAAACACAACTCCGCCACCCGGCGGGGCGGCCGGGGTGGCTGCAGCAGCCGTTGCTCTGTGCTGCTGCTGCTGCTGCTGATGCTGCTGCAAGGAGTATATTAGGCGCATGCATAGGCTTGTAAAGCAGCAAAATGGCTGATGTTTGTAAGCAAGCAGGAGAGGAATCTTATCCGAAGATCGGAGACGTCAGACACTCTGTGCTGTAGTACTATACTACTACCCCCAACGAGCAGCAGCAGCAGCAGCAGCAGCAGCAGCACAAGCAGCAACACCACCGTCTCACACAACAGAGTCAGCAGCAACAGCAGCCGACCCGCCTCCTCTCTCCGCTGCTGCTGCCATTTCTCCTTCCATTCATATTGAAGCATTTTCTTTTATGTTGGTCGTCATATAACGTCGGCCACCAGACAGCAGCAGCTCAGCTGTCTGTACACAGCTGCAGCAGCAGCAGCGGTGTCTTCTTCCTCTCTCCCTCCTGCTGCGTGTAGTAGTAGTAGTACTAGTTGTTGTTGTTGTATTTTGCCCCTCTTTCTCTTGCATTTTCTTATCTTTGTTTGCTGCTGCTGCAGCCTTAACTTTGTTTTTTAGTTGTCTTTCTTCTCTCCTTCTCCTTCTTTATATACACAATTCTCCTTTCCTTCCTTCTCTCTCCTTATAACAACACAGCAGCCACCCTACAAGGGGGGCCCTTAGGGTATGTGTGCCGCAGGGGGCCCCCAGTCGCCGCTCAATATGCTGCAACATGCGCGTTCTTTCAGGAACTCACGCTGATCCGCAGCAGCAGCAGCAGCAACAGCAGCAGCAACAGCAGCAGCAGCTCAGGGCCAACAACCGTGACACGCAATCTCTACCTTTGACAGAGCCACATGCAAAAAACAGAACACAGCCACAGCAGCTGCAGCAGCAGCTGCTGCAGCAGCTGCTGCTGCAGCTGATGGGAGATCAGCAGCAGCAACAGTCCGCCACCGAACGTAACGCCGTCCTTCAGAATGCAACTGTCGCGCAGCAGCAGCTGCAGCAACAACAGCTGCAGCAGCAACAGCTGCAACAACAACAGTTGCAACAGCAACAGCAGCTGCAGCAACAACAGATGCAGCAGCAACAGCTACAGCAGCAGCTTCAGCAACAGCTGCAGCAGCTCCAACAACAGCAGCTGCAACAGCAAAGGCAACAGCAAGCACAGTTGCAACCGCCGCACCAGCTACTGCAGCAACAGCAGCAGCAGCAGCAGCCAACCGCCTCCTTACCCACCGAAACCCTTATGCAAATACACCGTCTCCTTGGTGTGTCCCTACCGCAAGCTGCTGCTGCTCCCAGTTGTCAGCAGCAACAGATGCAGCAGCAGCAGCAGCGGCAGGTAGAAGCAGCACAAGAGCCTGTGCGCCGCATCCCTGAGGATGCGGCAGCAGCAGCAGCAGCAGCTGCTGCTGCTGCTGCTGCTGCTGCCCCGCACTCCGTAGGTAGGGGCCCGGTTAACCAAGAACCTATTAAGTTGTTGCGGCAGCGACTGCAGCAGCTGGAGAGAATGAAGCAGACAAGTGATCTGCAGCAGCAGCAACAGCAGCAGCAACTCCTGTTGCAGCAGCAGCAGCAGCAGCAGCAGCAGCGTCCTCTGCTGCAGCGGGAGGGTGAGGCGGTTCAGCATCTTTTAGATTGTATTCAGGTGCTGCGGCACCAGCAGCAAATGCTGCTTCCTCTGAGGGGGACACCAGATGCACCTTCCGCCCCTGCTGCTGCTGCTGCTGCTGCTGCACCTCCCGCAGCAGCAGATGGAGAGAAGCAGCAGCAGTCGCTGCAGCAGCGGCTAATCAACTTCCTGTCGCAGCAGCAGCGGCAGCAGGGTCGGCTGCTGCAGATCTTGTCTCAGCACCGCCAGCAGGAGAACGGCTCTTGCGAGTCTGCACAGCAGCAGCAGCAGCAACAACAGCAGCAGCAGCAGCAGGTCGAGCAGCAGCAACAACAACAACAGCAACAGAACGATTCGCTACGGCAGCAGAGAGCGAAGCTGCTTAGTCGTATTGTGAATTTGTTGCAGCAGCAGCAACAGCAGCAGCAGCAGCATCCTTGCAGCGCGATGGATGGCGATGATGGTCAGCAGCAGCAGCAGCATCATGCGCCTGAAGACATAGCAGCAGCAGCAGCAGCTGCTGCTGCTGCTGCAGGTTCCCACATTGGTTTTGGTGGGCCGCAGCGAGGGGATGTGGGGGGCGGGCGCGGAGGGGAGGAGTCTGCATCTCTTGATGGGGAGGAAGCAGCAGCTGCTGCTGCTGCAGCAGCTGCTGCTGCATCTGCTGCTGCTGCTGCACTGCAGCCAGACGAGCAGCAAGATGTTGCTGCTGCTGCACTGACACGGCATGCATTGTCTGGTTTACGACCTTTGCTGCAGGCAGCATTCCGTTTGCCGCACTTCCCTGTTCAATCTGCTGCTGCTGCATCTGCTGCTGCTGCTGCAGCAGCAGGAGGAGGAAACGAAGGAGACACGGAAGCAGGAAGTACTAGTAGTAATAGTATTAGTCCTCTTGCTTCTTGTCTTGCTGCTTGTCTATCACCGTATACAAAAGAAGAGGAGACAACAACAACACCACCAGCAGCAGCAGGAACAGCAGCACCAGCAGCAGCAGCAACAGCAGCAGCAGCAGCAGCAAGAAGGGGAATAAGTGTAGGGTTAGGGGTAAGAGAATGGCAAAGAGACAGCTCTTTCTTATTCTGTGAATTATCACGATTAATAAGAGCAGCAGCACAACTTACACCTGAGCCTCTACTAGAGAGTCTCCTTAGGGTAGATACGCAGCAGCAGCAGCAGCAGCAGCAGCATCAATTGCAGCAGCAGCAGCAGCAGCAGGGGGAAAGGGAACAGCAGCAGGAAGGAAACAAGCAGCAGGTCAAGCAGCAAAATGCTGCTGCTGATAGTTCGAAACATGAACAAGGCGAAGAAACACCTGCTGCTGCTGCTACTGCTGCTGCTGCTGCTGCTGCTGCAGCAGGTGCTGCCAGCAAAGATGCTAAGAGCGATGAGGAATCGGGGTCGTCGTCTCCTCAACAGATAGATGCAGAGGAGACAGCAGTTGTTGCTAAATCTGCTGCTGCAGCAGAGCCTGCTACAGCAGCAACAGCTGCAGCAGATGCTGCTGGTCAACCTGCTGCTGCTGACGATACTGCAGCTGCTGCAGGCGAAGCTGAAGCAGCAGTTGCTGCAGCAGGAACAGCAACTGCTACAGCAGCAACATCTGATGTCGAAATGTCTGCTGCAGCAACTGCTGCTGCAGCAACATCTCCTGCAGCAACATCTCCTGCAGCAACATCTCCTGCAGCAACTTCTGCTGCAGCAACTTCTGCTGCAGCAAGTCCTGCAGCAACATCTGCTGCAGCAAGTCCTGCTGAGGCACCTTCTGCTGCAGTAACTTCTGCTGCAGCAAGTCCTGCTGCAGTAACTTCTGCTGCAGCAAGTCCTGCTGAGGCATCTTCTCCTGCAGCAGCTGCTGCTGATGCAACTTCTGCTGCTGCAGCTGCGCATGCGGAGGCGGAGGCATCATCACCATCAGCAGAAGAGGGAAGGGGTCCCTCTCCTGCTGCTGCAGCATCCCCGGAAACAGCAGCAGCAGCAGCAGCATCAGATGGGCCAACAGCAGACGGAGCGTCAAGTCCTGCTGCTGCTGCCGCTGCTGCTGCTGCTGCTGCTGCTGCTGCTATTGGTGTAGATGAGGATGCATTAGGTATAAAAGATAACTCGCGGGGTATTGAGGGGACAGTAGACACCGCGTGTCTTACTACAAGGGACATATCTCCTTATCAGCAGCAAGACGAGCAGCAGCAGCAACAGCAGCAGCAACAGGAGGAGGAAGACATGCTGCAGGATGAGGATGACCTGCAGCAGCGTGACCAGCAGCAGCAGCTGTTGGGTGTATCAGCAGTTGATGCAGCAGCAGGAGCAGCAAGTGAGGGTTTGGCTGCTATAGTAACTGAGGCAGCAACGGGTGCTGCTGCTGCAGCAGCAGCAGCAACAGCAGCAGATTTTAAGGAGGAATTAAGGAGACACATGGAGAGACAGGAGACACTTACTGAGGAGACAGCTGGGGGCCCAACCTTCCGCTCTCTTCCTATGGAGTATTCTCTTAGTCTCTCTGCTGTATGCGCAAAGGTTAGTGCTGCTGCTGCTGCTGCTTCCTGCTGCTGCTGCTGCTGCTGTTTACTGCTGCAGCTAGCTTCTTCTTTTTGTTGTTGCTGTGGTTTGTCGTTGCTACTTGCTGCTGCACCCGAGTAGGTAGCCGTTTCTTCTGTCCTGTATGTTGATTTGCTGCTGCTGCTGCTGCTGCTGCTGCTGCTTGCAGGCGTTGCAGCAGTGCGAAGCCGCACAGCTGCTGCTGTCTCCTCCCGTCCAGTGCTGCTGGGATCGCATTGTCTCCGTTTGCCAGCCTCATTGGCAGCAGCAGGTAGAGAACGAGGCTGCTGCTGCTGCTGCTGCACCAACTGCAGCAGATGCAGGGAGCTCCACAGCAGCAGCAGCAACAGCAGCAGCAGCAACAGCAGCAGCAACAACAACAACATCTAGTGCTGAGGCGACCGAATCGAAGCCTTTTTGCATAATATGCCGTTTGCTGCAGCAGCAGTCTGCAGGTCATGGTTCTCCGAACAGCAACAGCAGCAGCAGCAGCAGCAGCTCGTCTGCAGGTCCGCTGCAGGAAGCCTTCGAGCTGCTGCGGCAGCAGCACCGCCATGTCTATCTAGACATGCAGCGGGCCCCACAGCCGCTGCTGGATAGGCACATGCAGGAGTTGCTGCTGAGGAGTAAGCGTAGCAGTTCTGCTGCTGCTGCTGCTGCTGCTCGTAACTCCCTTGGGGGACCACAGAAGAGGGGACGAGAGGGAGCGCATGCAGCAGCTGACGAACAGCAACAACAGCAGCAGCAACAGCAGCAGCAGCAGCAGCAAGAGCAGCAGCAAGAGTGGAGGGCGCAGCTCCGATCAGCTAAAGATCAAGGAGCCTTCGATGTACAGTGGCCAGACACCAGCAGCAGCAGCAGCAGCAGCGAAGGGGATAAGGAATCTAAGGAGAGACAGGGTGCTGCTGCTGCTGCAGCAGCAGAGAGACAGTTAGAGGAGACACTTCTTATAGCAGCAGCAACAGTTGGGCGCAACGAGAGGGAAAAGTTGGCGCAGCAATTCCTTCTTCGGGTGTATGGTGAGCTCTGCTGCACTGAGGTGTACGCACACCTCAATATAGTATAAATAATTAAACAATATATAGTGCACTTTGCTGCTGCTGCTGCTGCTATTTATATTGCTGCTTTTGTTGTGCTGCTGCTGCTGCTGCTGCAGGAATGGAGACACTGAGGGCTGTGGAGCGCAGGGTGTCTCCGCATGCAGCAATAACTATCTCCTCCACTGCATGGACAGTGCAGCTCCCTAGTCGTCCTGCTGCTGCTGCTGCTGCTGGGCAGCAGCAACAACAACAGCAGCAAGAGAAGCAGCAACAGCAGCAGGCGGATGCGAAGATGGAGAGTGACGCTGACCGCGAGCAGCAGCAACAGGAGGGTGACGAAAGCAGCAGCAGCAGCAGCAGCAGCAGCAGCAGCAGCAGCAGTAATAGCAATACCAGCAACGGCACCGACAGCAACAGCAGCAACAGCAGCAGCAGCAACAGCAGCAGCAGCAACAGCAGCAGCAGCAGCAGCAGCAGCAGCAGCAGCAAGACAGCAGAGGCTGCTGGAGGGGAAACGCCTGCAAGCCGAAGCTTTTCGATCCATGTGTATGGGTACTACACTGCTTGCTGCCTAGCCCTTGACGCCTTGCAGCAGCAGCAGCAGCAGCAGCAGCAGCAGCAACAGCAGCAACCACAGCAGGAGCAGGAGCAGCAGCAGCAGCAGGAGGGGAGTGATGAGGGAAAAGGGCAGCAGGTGCCGTTATTTTCTTCCTTGCTGCTGAGGAGACAGGAGACACTAGAGGATGAATGGTTTGTATCTACATGGGGGCCCCTCCTTGCGGACCCTGGGGGCCCCCCTGCCTCGTTGCTAAAGAGCAGCACGAGAGACAACAGCAGCAACAGCAGCAGCAGCAGGAACAACAGCAACAACAACAGCAGCAGCAGCAGCAGCAGGAGCTGCAGCAGCCAAGTAATGACTGTATCTGCGCATGCAATTAAGGATGTAACAGAGGATTGCCGTCTATGGGTACGACGGCGTCTGCTGCTGCAGAAAGGAGACACTTTGCTGCAGCAGCAACAGCAGCAGCAGCAGGAGACACCTAATGAATTAATAAAGGGATTGTCTCCTTTTCTTCCTTATAAATCTACTGTTGGGGTATATAACAGGAAGAGACAGTTGCTGCTGCTGCAGCAGCAGCAGCTGCCATGGCCTGAGCCTAAGAAGACAGCATCTAATAGACAAGGGACAGAGGAAAGAACAGCAGTAAGAAAAGGAGACACTTTTCTCCTTCCTTACTCTTATTGTCTCCTTTCTTGTCTCCTTCCTTGTCTCCCTTCTTGTCTCCTTTCTTGTCTCCTTCCTTCCTCTTATTGTCTCCTTTCTTGTCTCCTTTCTTGTCTCCTTTCTTGTCTCCCTTCTTGTCTCCTTTCTTGTCTCCTTCCTTCCTCTTATTGTCTCCTTTCTTGTCTCCCTTCTTGTCTCCTTTCTTGTCTTCTTCCTTATTGTCTCCTTTCTTGTCTCCTTCCTCTTATTGTCTCCTTTTGTCTCCTAGTGTCTCCTTTTTTGTCCATTTGTCTGTCCTTCCTTATGTTTTTTATTTTGTCTTTTTTGTCTCCCCCTCCTGCTGCTGCTGCTGCTGCAAACCCTGCTGCTGCTGCTGCTGCTGCTGCAACAAACGCTGCTGCTGCTGCTGTTGTGTGTGTCCCTTAGGCTCCTGGTTATGCATTAAGACATAGACGTCGTCTCCCTGCGTCTCCTAATTCTCTTGTGTTACGAGGAGGAGACGATAATTAAGTGTCTCCTTTTATTGTCTCCTTTTATTTATTGTCTCCTTTTTGCTGCTGCCTGTCTGTCTCCTTTTGCTGCTGCCTCTCTGCCTATCTGTCTCCTTTTATTGTCTCCTTTTATTGTCTCCGTTTTTGTTTGTTGTTGTCGCCATATTTAAATGCATGCACATTTGCTGTGGGGCAACAGCAGCAGCAGCAGCAGCAGCAGCAGCAGCACCAGCAGCGGTTGCAGCAGGTGCAGCAGCAGCCCTGCTGCTGCTACTTGTACAGAACGGCTGCACCGTAGTTGCTGCTGTTGCTGCTGTTGCTGCTGCTGCTGCTGCTGCTGCTGCTGCATGTACCCATGTAATGCATGCGCTCTTACTACCGCGCGACACCTTGCAGCGTCTCTCCTGTCTCCTTTCTCCCCTCTCCCCTGTCTCCTCCTGTC